CTTTATCTTTGGGAGACTATGAGAAGGTGAGCTACTCCTGACATGGAGAGACAGACAATTTGAGCAACATGATAGAGCTATTGAGATTTGGAAAGGAGAGGCAGTGGAGAAACAAAAGACCCAGTCCTGTGTATAAGTGTGTGATGCTTAGTAATCATGTAAAGAGGCAAGTGTCAACATGTGAGAAACCAGATAATTGTGTTTGTTTGGGAAGAAAATATAATTAAGTTATTGCTTTGTGCCTTTATGAGCTGTGATAGAGACATGCTTCAAATGCTATACATAGGGAACAGTTCTTGATTCTCCCACAGATATTAAGAGGCTGGATGGAGGGAACCTCAGAACTGATGGGTCAAAAGTCTAGTAAAGCTCCAATGGGAATGAATTTACAAGTTGGTACCTCTTCTTCTCTAATACATTTTTGTCTCTCTGATATCAGGAGGGTGATGCATAGCTATGAGATAGGGCTGATAGCATTGCATACTTCCTTTTCTCTACTCCTCTAATGGGAAACTGTGGGAAAGTAAAATATGAACGTAACTGCTTAGAAGCTGGCCTTAAGTTTCTTAGGGGTTGGAAAACAGCGGTGGTAGCTAGACAGAAAGGTGTCACCTTACCTCCTTTCTCAACAAAACATCTGTGGGGTTATTTCAGGTGTAATATATGAAAAGCTGTGCAGTAGGTATCTTTCCAGTGAACCTCTACTAGGTTGCATACCACTATTTAACAAGCAGTGTGGTAAATCATCTCTCTGTGCAAGGTCAGATCAGTCTTTTTTTAGTGGTGTTTTACATGAATGCTTTGCTTTGGGATTGTTGTTTCTTCATGCATAAATATCTTTATTGTACCAACAGCCTGCAGCCCCAGTGAACCAAAGCAAAACTGATTTTTATTCTTCTCTATATTTATGGCCACAGTGAGAGAACTCATTTGAAAAGGAGCTATGGGTGTTTCCAACAGGTTTGGCAGGGGTTTAGGCACTGGGAGCCTTCAGTGGGCTTGTATTTGAATTTTAAATTTGAATGGGATATGCCAGGCTGGTTCTGGCCCCAGATTGGCCATCATTCCATTTGGGATGATACTGAGGATGGAACTGAAAGTGAACTTTTATTGAAAGGTGCTATGGGAATAGAGGAGTAGGTTCTGCATGCGTCCATGCATACACTTTAGTCTGGTGGATCAAAAGATGTGCTGAAGTGTGCAGGCTATGTTTTGCAGCCAGCTCAATCTGAAGTCTCAATTTTTACTTTCTGACATGTTGATTTGAGTTCAGGTAGGGTTCTTTAGAGGGGAATGAGAAATGTACTGACAAGTAATTGCTTGTTACTTTTACCAGGTGCTAAATTTGAAGTCTCCACCTTGAGGTTGACCTCATCTAATTTACCTTTGCAATAAAAGATATGGTATATAGCTCTACTCCCTGCACACAGTGGGATTACCAATATATGTTAGTTATCTGTGATATAACAGTGTATTTTTTGTTAATGAATATCAACAGTAAGAGAGATGAAACTAGAGGTTTTATTTAAAAACAAAAATATTTTTCTTTGAAGAAAAAACATATTCCTACCTATGTAGGTGTTGATCTTCTGAACAGTGTACATAAATTTTGGGTTCACTGTATGACTTCCAGAATCTGCAATGCATGAAATCAAATACCCAGCAGTAATGGCTTGGGGGAACCTCTGAGCCTTTGCATGGAAAGACTTAAGACATGGTATATAACCATCACTGAGAGGACTTCTGAGTTTTCCTAAATTTGGAATGCTTGACTTCACAATTATAGTATCTTTTGTGATAACAATGTCATACGTATTTCTCTAGTATGAACTGAAGAAGGCAGGAATACCATCATTGTATCGCCAGAAGATCTACCCCACAGCCTTCTGCTGCTGAACACAGAAGCACAGCTGGCAGCAGCAGCTGCCCACTCCAGTCCTAAAATGGAGGGTTTTAGCAGAGTTCTATGTCTTGGTGTTTCAGGGGAAATGCTCTTGAGTAATGAAATTTTAATTAATTTTTTGTTAATTAAGATAAACTTCCAATTACTGATTCTGATATTGAGAAATAATGGCAATTACATGCATGAGAAAACACCTCAACTTCCTTCCAGACACCTTTCTTCCTCTCTGGCTAGTCTCCAGTCTTCTGCCTGCAAATTATACTAAGTCATGTGGATCAGTGCAGGATGCTTTCCTTTTTCTGCCACTCTTTGTTTCTTGTTCCTTGGTTTGGTTGGTTTTTTTGTTGTTGTTGTTGTTTGTTTGTTGTTTGATTGTTTTTGGTGTTTTTTTTATTGTTGTTTTTTTTTTACCACAGCTCCAGCACAGGGTCCTTCATAGGGCCTCCATTCTCTCAAAGCCATAGTTTGTCCTGGCTATCCATGTGCTCAGGTATCCCCTATCACTGTGCAGGCCTTTCCTTTTTCTCTGGTGTCTCCTGCCCCAATCAACTACTGCCAGTAGTAGGTCCAGTTTCTCTAAAACTAGTAGCCAGATGGTATCCTAAACAAAACCATTCCCTATCTGCTTTCTCAGGCTCCCCTTTCTCCTGCAAAGTCATTCCCTGGCTTCATCTGTACTGTCACTGTGGTGATGAGTGCAGAGAAGGGAGAAAAAACTTTCTTGAGAGCACAAGAAAAACAGGTCTCTGAATTTTACTCTTGATTCCTGGCTGTACCCACTGTTCCAGGTCATGTCCTGTGAAGTGGGAGTGGAGGCCAGCAGCTCTGAGGGGGTGGCAGAAAGGCATTGTGAGCATGTGTGGGCCCTGCAGGAGGAAAAGATGCTCTGTGGGATGGTTTGCGTGTTGTCTGTGAGCTGCAGGAAGGATGTGAGTAGGCTTTTTGTGTTTTTAGACTTTGAGGGTTTTAACTGCTGAGCCTGCTCATCTTTGCTGGATGTGTGAAATGTAATTTTTGAAGGCTAATCATTTTCCTCACAGAAATCCTCACCTAGTTGATAAAGACAAAAGGCACATGCCTGAAATGAAGCTGCTCTTTGTTTCAGGTCCTTGCACTAACATGTGAGTGTGAGAGGATTTCAAATTAAGCCATGTGAAATTTAACCTGGGCAGAATAACATACTTTGCCCTGCTTCATTCTTAGAAGTAACTGAAGTGCTATTTTTGAAGTTATTCCAAAAGCTTTAGACATAAACAAGCTCAGAATATATATGCACAGAAAATTAAGGTTTGGCAAATTTTTTTGAGTCCTGTGGTAGGAAATGCTGATCACTGTTTGTAATGGGTACAAGTCCTTCCCTTGTTCTAGAAATTGCCTAATGTAACCCAGGCTGTACCTGTGAATTTCACAGGGAGACAGCGATGTTCACATGCACATTTTGGAAAAGCCATGCTTTATGGATGAGCAAAAAAGTACCCCACAGCCAAATAAAATATAGCAAAGTGACTGTGAATGTTTGCAAAGAGTGATATGCTTTGTCCTGTTTCAATTAATGCTACACAGCAGGCTAAAATCGTAAATGTAAAAAAAAAAAGCAAGCTGCACCAAGGCTGGTTTGCAAAGCCATACAGAAGGTGTGTTTGATGGTAACAATATGGAAATCAGCTTGGATCATGTGTGTGAATGAGTTCTGTGATTCAAAACTGGACAGTAACAGGATCCAGTATTAGGATCAGGCATATGTGAAGGTACTAGTGGTGAAGATTTGAAAATAAATTCTTAATTTAAGACTCACAGGGCAAAATGCGTTGAGTTCTATAGGCAATGTAATTGTACTAGTGAGAAAGGTATTTTCCCCTTCTTGACCGTTTGCCCCTCATTCAGTCACAGAGATCCATAGGTTGAAAGATTTGGGTTTGAATTACCAGGCAGTGAAGGAGCTCTGATAAGGCTTTGTGACTATTGAACTTTCATAGGTTTGCAGCCTGGTGGTTGAAGCTAAAGAGAGAGTAGCTGTTGTTTGTTGGTTTTGGTTTGTTTTTTTCCTCTTGGGGATGGGATTTCAATTAAGTCAGTGTTGCTCGGTGTTAGAATTCCAGCCTTGCAGGCTGCTAAGTATGGAATTTGTGTTATAGGTAGCAGGACCTTGCCAGAGCCTGAAAAGTTTCCAAAATTACTTTCTCTCCTTTACCCATCTTTGCCAAACTCAGTTTCATTTAATGCTCTGATAGCACGTGTTCTAATGTTCTTGCAACTGCTTTGTTGACACTGCTGCAGACCTATCCTTGCAGACTTGTCCAACATCTTTACAACAAGCAGGGGATATGGTTTTGCACAAGTGTTTGGCATTGGGAACAGTTCTTCTTGCTGAAGTCGATCAGAACTGACGGCTTTAGAGAATCTACCTGAAATCCCTGCATTATTTTATCCACTCTTTTGAGCTTTTGAGTGCTGGATTTTAGATAGTTCTATGGCTTATGAGCAGGAAAAGATACGGACTGAATTTGCTTTGATATGTTCAGTACAAACCAGCCCCTCTCAGTTTAAACCTGTGGGTGATTTGTGTAGCTACCTGAACCTGCTTGTAAAGCTTACTTGGAATGCTAGCTTTTTGGTGCGCCTTTCACTTCTCCCACAGTTCCCCTTGAAAGGAGCTATGACTTTATGGTTTATGGACCAGGCTACCTTCTCTTGCAGTGGGAAGTCAAAGCTGTAGATTTTGCTGATACCTGATAAAGAAAACTTGTCCTGGGAAGAGTCCTCAAGGGTTACAGTCAAATAGAGCACTGGTCTGCTGGGATAACAGATCTTTGTGGGGTTTTATACTCTTCTGCTGAAATCAGTCATATACATGAGCCATGCGTAAGCCCAGATACTGTTGTGTTTCCTGACTAGTCCTTTACCTGCTTTTTCAATTGCTGCTTGCTGTGTGCCTTCTGTTCTGCTGTAACACAGCAGCTTTGCATCTTGCTGCCTATATGACTCCCACTCCCCATTCTGCATAATCTGATGAATATACTTAGTGTGCCTCCAGAAAAAGCTGAAATAGATGTTTATGGTTTTTGCTTTTCCCCCCCGTCCCCTCTTCTCTTGGCAGTTTTTCATCATGCTGTTAATTATATTTCTGTTGGAGCTCACTGTCGTGATTCTGTTCTTCATCTACACTGACAAGGTAAGTCAGATTCTTCATTTTTCTTTCCCCTTCAGCAAATTTTTATGCCCCTTTTCCCTATAAATAAATCATGAAGCTCTTTGCTTGATATGCACATCATGCTTCTGTCTTCCTTAAGACACCCTTCTCAGAAGGAGCTCTCTCAGAATGCATTAACAGCCTTGCAGGACTGGGCTATCTTGCTTGCTCATGTGTGCAACTCAAGGTCACAGATATTGTCAAGTGCATCTGCCATAAAAAGGATTAACAAAAAAAGCCACAAAAAAGCGCAAAGAAGCCAACGAGCCTTACTAGGAACATGTAGGAAGAGAAACCCATCAGAATGAACAGAGTTTTACAAAATATATTTACAATTTAAGAGCCACATTGATGTTCTTACAAAGGAGGTTTCCCTGTTACAGGCCAAGGCATACAATTCATTATCTTTCCAAGTTGCTCCTTGCACCACATGTGTACTTAGATTCTAGTGGAAAGCCAAGGTAAGTGTATAAAGGTTTATTAAACAAAGCTTTTGTTTGTGGTTTCGAATTTTACTTATGTTGGAACTTTTTTCCTGTGCTTACTTGGCATTTCTGTTGTAAGGACAAGATTGCCTATCTGAATTATCTTTATCCTTAGAATAATTTTTCTAAAACAAAAAAGAAATCTTACATGAATAAACCCAAAGCAAGGGCACAGTTGTGCGTAACCTGCCTATTCAGTCAAAATTGACAAAGTCTCTTAAAACTAAAGCCTAAGGGAGCTTGAAAATCACAGTATAGGTAGCAAAATTTTGCTGTGAATTAAGTCATCAGATACATGACCAATAAACAGCTTCTTCTGGAATGGAAAGACAAAATAACCAAAAATTAAATAAAAATGAAAAATAACTACACAAAATATAAAACTAAAATTAAGTTTAACAGTAGACCTAGTTATATTCTGTACGTTTAGCATTAACCCGTATGAGGAGTGGATAGGATGTCAACAGGACTTTCTAGAAAGGCTCCAAATTAATTTATGATGAGTGATTGTCAGGTACAAAGGAAGGACTAAAAAGAGCTAGGTAGCCAGACAGCATGCTGTAGCTGGAACATGGAATTAACTTGCAAGGTAATTAAAGTAGAAGGGGCAATTTAAAATTATTTGTATGCATTATTGGATTCTAAATTACTTGTAACCTCTTGGGAGTAAGATCTACATGTCATAGATGACAGCTTAATAAAGGCATCTACTTAATATGGAGTGGGCCTCCAAAACTCAAATGCAACACTTGGCATATATTTAGAAAGGGAATCAGTTAGAAAATATTATCATGTCATTGTGTAAATTGACGGACTTACCTCATTGTGAGTATAATTTGGTTACTTCATTTCTGGGAAGTGTAACAGAAATTATTAGAAGTGCTATAAATGTGTGAAAGAGCAGTCATGAAGAAAGATTATGGAGACTACCCTGATTCGGTTTGTGAAAGGAAAGAGATCCTCTGCTTAAGAGGTCTGAAGAAGAGAAATGACAGCAGTTTCTAAAATAATGACATACAAAAGACCTGTCCTGAACACAGAAGAAATACTTGAAAATATTAAGTAGGTTTGAAAGATAAATGTTTCCTATGCTCCATATCATCATCTTTTAGAATTCCCTGTTGTTGACTGTTGTTGAAGCTGATAGTTTGATAAATATGTGGGTATGGAGGAAAGAAAAAAAATGCAATGAAAAAATTTTCATAAAGCAGTCAGCACTGTTATGTTCACAAGTGTGCCACAGAGAATGTTGATCCTCACTCTTCAGAGGTAAAATTAGTGAAAAAGTGTCAGGAAGGATTCCATCCCTCTTTCAGCCTATTGGTTTGCAATGGTTTTTATTTGTTCTTAATGAAGAGATCAGGAAATTAAACTTTCCTCTGAATCACATAGGCTGATGCTGGAGGTACAATGCAGTTCTGTAAGATCAAAACAGAGTCAGGCTGCTGTTCAAGTGCAGTTTACTGAGTTAAGGAATTGCTGTAGTCTGTGTATTGTGGATGATCAAATTTGAGGCTCTTAATGTTCCTGTATGACCTTAAATCCATGGTCTTGTACAGAGGAAATCAATAGTTTGTCTCTGTGTTACACTTATAGTCCTACTACAGAATAAATAAAGCAGCAGCGACCTAAAACTGATATTTTCATACAGCATGCTCAGAATTCATGTACTGGCTTTCCTGATGTGAGGAAAAGTATTGCCACACGTACTGGTATGGGAAAGTAACTAAGCCAGACAAGTCCACCGCAGTAATTAAGTTAACACAGTTCCTTGGAAAATCAGTGAAGGAACAATCTGCACTAACATTTGCACAATGTAATGTTACTTTTGTGTGCAAAAGCAGAAAAGGACTCTGCAGACTAAGACTGCAGACTCTGCAGACTAAGACTTTGAGGGCTCCTCTATCATTCATATATGTATGTATGTATGTATGTATGTATAATTTTTATATATATATAAATCAGCACTTTTTGCATGTACCTGGTAGCCTTCTGTTAATTAGGAGTGTATGTACATGTAAAATTCTTCCCAGGATAAAATGGGACCCAATCATTATTTTCTATTTCTGACCTGTGATGTAGGTTGAGTAATGGATTCCTTGGCAGTTTTAATTTACTCCTACTTTGTCAAGTGGAAGGACTTTAGAGTAGTTACTTCTTCTCTTGTTGCAGCATTTAATCAATACCCTCCTCGTTCCATGAAGCAGAGAGGTGTTATTACTGTCTTTAGGTGGAGAGGGAGGAGCTGAGAGAGCTGCCCAAGACTCTGCAGGCAGCTGGGGCTGATTCTACATTTAGAACTCTTGGTGTTTTGGCTGACAGCAAGGGATTTGAAAGACTGAGCTGTGCCGACGGCAGGGCTGGGTATTGCAGCTGGCTTAATAGCACTTGTCCAGTGGATGATGTAATTTTTGTTCCTTCTGCTGTAGAGTGAGCACAGTAGCAAGCTGGTTTTTGCACTGCAATGTCAGCTACAAGGGTGAGTGTGCATCCAGGTGCATGTGGACACAACATATGGGTTCCTGAGCTGTCAAGCAGTATCTGTGTCCATTGCTGGGACTGTAGCTTTAATAGCATGTTAATGATTAAAAAGCATTGAGACAAAAGTTCTTTACAGCCATTCACAGATAGGTTTTTGTCACAGCACTTTTATTCTTTTGCTTTGGAAAGGCAAATGGGACAGCCTCCTGGGACTCAAGGCACCCTAGACTGACCCATACTCTTTCATCAGCTTGGGAGAACAAAAATTGCCTCTACCTTTCATTCTAATGACTTGGTAGCAGTGTCTCTGCGCTTTTAAGCAGCCAACTAGCTCCCATGCCCTAGAATGTCCTGTTTTATTACCATAGAATTGTTTGGGTTGGAAAGAACCTTAAAGATCATCTAGTTCCAACCTCCCTGCTATGTGCAGGGACATATTCCACAAGACCAGGTTGCTCAAAGCCCTGTCCAGCCTATCCTTGAACACTTTCAGGTAGGGCACATCCACAACTTCCCTGGGCAACCTGTTCCAGTGTTTCATCACCCTCACAGTAAAGAATCTCCTCCTAATATCTAGTCTGAATCTACCCTCTTCCAGTTTAAAACCGTTTCCCTTTGTCCTATCACTACCTGCCCTGCTAAAAAACCTCTCTCCAGCTTTCCTGTAGGACCCCTTCAGGAACTGGAAGACTGCAATAAGGCCTCCCCAGAGCCTTCTCTTCTCCAGGCTGAACAGCCCCAACTCCCTCAGCCTGCCCCCATAGTGGAGGTGCTCCAGCCCTCTGATCATCTTTGTGGCCCTCCTCTGGACCCACTCCAACAGCTCAGTGTCCTTATATTGGGGGCCCCAGAACTGGACGCAGTACTGCAGGTGGGGTCTCACAAGAGCAGAGTAGAGATGGAGAGATGTTTGTTTTGTTTCTTGATGTTTGTTTTGATGTTGTGAGATAAATGCTGCCCTGGACTTCACCACTCTACATGATCTGATGTTGTAAAGAGAGAAGGGCTTGGAGAATACTATACATAGTATAGGAAGGAAAAGAGATAAAGCCTTGCTTCTTGGAACTGCACCATAGGCCTCTTCAGCAGGGCCTGAGCTCACACCTTGTTCACTATTCCTCCAACTGTCCTGGCTGGTTACACTGCAAAATACAGATCCTTTGAGTTCCACAGGAATGAGATGTGGGCTGTGTGGGAATAGAATGTGGAAATACATTCCTACAGGCTGGTTGTCAGGAAAAATATGTAGCACTTTTATTTTGTACCGGCTTTTCCCAGAGCAGCAGAGTGATTGGTTCATAGAGTGTCTTCAGCTCAAAGTGGGCACCCAAGGGACTCGGGAGCTCCTGTTGGTGTTTTTGCACGTTCATATGTAAGTTCCCAAAGTGTAGGTTTTTATTTTATTGAGGGCAGAAATATCAGCCCAAGAGTTGTGGGTATTGAATGGAATTTGTGTGATTATGAGAACTATGGCAAGTTCTTATCACTCTGAGAGCACTATTTTTTCAGGCTAAATTTATGCTCCCATTTAAAGCAGTCCAAACTCCGGTGACATTGATAGAGTCATGTGGATGGCCACCTACCTATAGCTTGAATATTCTCTTTAATATGTTTTATTTTGATTCCATTAATACAGAGCAGCATTTGACATTCTTATAAACTGATAATTTCTATGTGAGACTCTATATGTATTTGTAAGAGATCCACGGAGTATTGATAGTGTTAACCTTGATTTTATTGTGATAAAGAGAAAGCAGCAGGGCCCTATTCTGTCAGAGATACCCTGTTATATTTCTCAACACCAGGCTGGACCCTCTTAGTATATAAATTACGCTAACAAAATGCATAGTCTCGTACCAGTTCTAACTTGTGTAATCCTTCTGGTTTTAGCATCTGTATTTATTTTTACTGTGATGATTCTCCTGGTGGCACAGAAGAAGAAATCCATATTTACTTTTTTGCAGCTGCAATACATGATTTTTTCCAGTAGGTTTGTTTTTTTGGACATCTGCATTT